GAATTAAAAGGCCACTTAAGTGACTTAAAGAGAGACACGTTCATGACCGTTTCTGAACACACTTAAGTAGACTTTTTAAAAAGTGACCTTTGAAATAATGTCAAATTAAGTTTTATTTTAAATCATTGTTTTAATAATCTTTGTCATGTTTTAAAGAAGTGCACTTATGTTGATGTGTTGACTGACATACTAAAGCACATGTACAGTACTTAATTTTAATTTTATCTGTATTGTGTTATTCAATATTACATTTAAAGTTAATAGATTTTAAAGGGGTCATCGGATGCCCATTTATATATAATTAATGAAATAAAAGGCCACTTAAGTGACTTAAAGAGAGACACTTTCATGACCGTTTCTGAACACACTTAAGTACACTTTTAAAATGTTAAATCAAAAGATTTACTTTTAAGTACATTTTAAATCATCATGTTTTCATAATATTTTGTCATGTTTTAAAGAAGTACACGTATGTTGATGTGTTGACTAACATACTAACACACATGTATAGTACTTAATTTTCATTTTAACTGTATTGTGTTATTTAACATTACATTTATATTGCAATATTGGAAAATGTGCGAGTGTTTAATTGCAAACTGTTTTTAATACATGACAATAGAAGTGACATTAAAGTATATTTTAGTTGATCATAAATGCTTGTCAGCAGTACTTTAACCATATTTCAAAGAAGCAATTATGAAATTACATATAAAGATGTACTGAACTTAAGTGGGTCAAAAAAGCAAGCTGAAGTTCAGATAATTGCATTAAATATTAATTGAAACTGTAACTAATTTTAATTTAATTGCCATTGACATGCAATTAAGTGTTCAAAAAAACATTGCATACGTATATTATTTCTGTCATAAGTGCGCTTTTTATAAAGTATGCTAAAGTGCATGTCTTTTCCAGTTAAGAACTTCTGAGCAGTGCATTATGGGTCATGCAGACTGAGGGAGGCTGTAAGAGATATACTGGCTGTGTGAATCTCACCTGGCGCAGCGGGCAGTGAATGATGGAAAGAGCCCTGTTTAACAAACACACAGAGCACATCGATTAACAGCTGCTCTGGATGCAGCACATCAGGAGGCTCATGATCGTAGCTCAGTGTTTCCTCACAGCTCCAAGAAAGAAATGCAAATGAACTATAACTATAACTGCCATTTAAAAAAATCAATAATAAAACATTAAAGCAATGGTTCGCTGTGCTTGTTTGTAGGGCTATGCAATTTGGCTAACACTTTTCTGATGATAAATTAAATAATTTGTTCATTTTAATTATGTCATATTCATGGAATACAATTTTTTTTTTCAATGAAAATAACATTAAAGTTCACAGTAATATGCAGAACGACAAAACGAGTATAATGCCTAATAAGAACCGTGGCTAGGCCTGTCGCAATAATCAATATATCGACTTATCGCGCAATATATGTCCATGACCTCAATCATTTTTGGTGATGCAATATATCGCACATTATATTTACTTAAAAATTAATGTCACTATGTTTTGTACATTCCACTTGCGCCGGAGTCTTTTGCAGCTTCTCGTACATAACGTGGTGTAGTCATGAGGTGCTAGTTCACATTTAAAAATGCTTCTACAAACAAAGTTTCATCTGCAGATATGGCCTTAGTTAGGGATCTGTGCCTTTGTGCATACACACCTCTGACCGCTGAGTAGTGATTGTGTTTTTCAGCAATAGTGTGCACTGTGCACCCTTCATTTACAGAGAAAAGAAGGTCCGGGAAAATACAAGTTCTTTGTGCATTTTCTTTTTTTCTACTTTGCACTTTTTGTTAAAACAATTGTATTTACTGTTTATCCAGGTATCTAATATTTTGATAATTTCCATGATCTAAATATTCTTAAAAATTAAAAGTTTGTTGTCATTTGGAAGTGTGTAGGCCTTCTTTGCATTATTATGCTGTTACATTATGATTATACATTCAGTGGCATAAAATGGCCTTTAAAATGACAATAATATCGCTTATCGCAGTTATTTCTGGGGCAATATATCGCACATCAAAAAGTTGTTATCGTGACAGGCCTAACCGTGGCAACATCTCAAAAGACACTTGGAGAAATCGACATGCAAAGCTACAGTACTGTGAAAAGATTTAGATTAAAACATATATTGCATTTATCAAAGCTAATTCACTCTGAAACACACAACACACGTATATAGATTATTATTATAAACCGCAGCCTTCATGACACGACTAATGCAGTAAGCCATGTCGCAATAATGATTATTGTGCTCATTGGTGTGGAAAAAATAAATAGAAAGTAGTGTTATTTTAGCATTATGGTTTTTATTACTTTATTAGCAATTTTGTTTGTTTTTTTGTCGTTTTTTTTAAACATGTCTATACAGTTTTTATCATTTCAGTTTGTTATTTTAGTACATCAAGATAAACTTAATGAAAACTGTATATATAAATAGATTTTATTTTTATTTTAGTTAATGTTTTAACCATTTTTAATGCATTTAACTGAAAGATTTTATTCTAATATATCATGCAGCCCTAATCCATTTATTATTGTGTAACAAGTAAAGAGAAAGCATATATTAAATTAGTTTTTTTATTCTGTTTTCATTTTAATTTTGTTTTAGTCGTTTTTTATACAATATATTAGTTTGTTTTTATGTATCTACATAGTTTTAGTGTTTTAGTTATTTTAGTACATCAAAGTAAATGAAATTAAAGTGAGAAATGTTGCCTTTGCAATTACCTGAAATCAGGTACGTTTAATTATTTTATTTAAATGAATGCTTTTAATGATTAATAATTGTATTAACAATTTTATTGAATTTAACAATTTTATTTCAAGTAATGAAAATGTTTCAGTTAACCATAATTAACTATAATAACCCTGAGTAGTGTATATATCGATTTTTTTTTACATTAACATTTTTTACATTACAGTTTTTACATTAAATGTTCCCTTTTATTCTAGCACTCTCTATTCTAATTCTATTTTATCTATTTGTTTTCTTTTTTAAGACCCTTTAAGACTTGCACTCTGTTTGCTTTCTAACTGCTTGTTTTCTATTAAAAAAAGACCTCTAACGATAGCTTTTTCTGTTCTATCTGTCTGTTTTCTTTTGATCTATTATATAATTAACAAAAAACCCTTGCTATGTGTACTGCGTTAGGCTAACTGAGACTTGTCATAGCATTTGCTTATCATTGCACTTTTGTTGATTACGATTGCTTCCATTGTCCTCATTCGTAAGTCGCTTTGGATAAAAGTGCCTGCTAAATGACTAAATGTAATGTAAATACCTTGAGTCCTCCGCAGACGGGGCAGGAGGTGAGGAGTGATTTCATCCCGGCAGGAGGAGGTGAACAGCAGCTTTTACTACAGGATAATCCCTGAGACCCCTCCCCTTTTATTAGGCCCTCCCTTGTCTGTGACTCCTCCCCTTTATCAAGCTCCGAGTCTGATTGGCTGGGAGATTCGGCGCAGGGCTCGTCTTGAGATGTGCTGCCGTGTCTGCTGAGCTCCAGCAGGCTGCGGGGAGAGTCGTACAGGAACCGCAGGGACGAGGGAACCTGGTATTCGTGGACGGGACAGGATGAGCAGGAGCACAGGTGTTTCTCTGGCAGGTTAAACAGCGCGCCGTATTCCTCTCCCGGACCGGCAGCATCCAGACTCCCGCTGTAGGACGAGAAGCTGCCGGTCACGATGCCGCTGTCGGACGAGTTCTGTCGGCCGGACTCTTTCAGCTTCCGTGAGCGAACGGGATCGGCCGGGACCTGGAGTTTCTCCTCCAGCGGAGACGTTTCGGCAGAGCCGGGCAGAACCAGATCGCTCCACGGCGCAGGGCGACCGCTAACGCTGCAGTCTGACTGGCTCGTGTCTGAAGTGTCAGAGGAACCGGAAATGCTGCGGTCGTCGCCCGCAAGCGAAGAGCCGAAGCGCGAGCTGGAAGCTTCCAGGACAGAAGAGAAAGAAAGCAATATTATTAATTCTGATTACATATTTAACGCACATAATGGAAATTGAGAAATAACTGCAAGAAATTATCCTTTTTCTGACTTTGTAATTAATACACTATTGATTTGTATCACACATTTTAATATTTCCATAGACCCTTATTAAAAGAAGTGCCCGAATGTGCACTTGTAGTGTACTTCCAATTTAAAAATGTTTTTTTTTTTAAACTGAACTTGCAGATAATAAATAAAATATTAAATATATATGGCATGTATGTATGAAATAAGAGTTCACTTAATGAGTGACTGTCATGACTGTTTCTTAACACACTTAAGTAAACTTTTAAAAAGTGTAAATAATGTCAAATTAAACATTTTACTTTGAAGTACATTTTAAATAATTATGTTTTAATTCTTAAGTGGCCTCTTATTTTTAAGTGTCTTAAAGAGAGACTTTCATGATTGTTTCTTAACACACTTAAGTACACTTTTTAAAAGTGTAAATAATGTCAAATTAAACATTGTACTTTGAAGTACATTTTAAATCATGTTTTAACACTTGAGTGTTCTCTTATTTTTAAGTGACTTAATGAGAGACACTTTCATGACCTAACACACTTAAGTGTAAATGTCACATTTTAAATCATTGTTTTAATAATATTTTGTCATGTTTTAAAGAAGTACACTGTTTTGATGTGTTTACTAACATACTAAAGCGCATGTAAAGTACTTGATTATCATTTTAACTGCAGTGTGTTATTCAATATTATGTTTAAAGTTACTATATTTTAAATGCAATAAATTGCAACTTAACTATTACATATATGTAATTACAAATCTATTTAACTACATGAAATGGAAATTTCAATAGAAATTTCACATTAAAGTATGTTTTAGTTTATCATAAATGCTTGTCAGTACATTTCAGCAGTACTTTAACCATATCTGAAAAACAACAGAATGAATTATGAAATCACATATAAAGATGCACTTAAGTCATACTTAAGTGAGTCAAAAACACTCAAAAAGTTCAGCTAATCACATTTAATATCAACTGAAACAATAGTACATTTTCATTCAATTGCATTTAACATGCAATATTACATACACCAACCAGACGGATGTATTAGTGGTGGGACAGAGACGGGTGAGCAGTTACCTGTGCTGTGAGACAGTAGACTGAGCCTCCGCTCCAGCTCCTCCGCCTCATGCTTAAGTCTGTCCTGAGCTGAAGCTGCACTGATGCTGGGCTCTAAGACACAGACAGAGAAAATCAAAACCTGTGAGACACACAAACCAGAATATGACATGGAAACAAACAAAATGGGAATGCTAGCATTTGATCTGCAGCTGTGCAATTATCAAAAAGATGGTCAAATGCCATGTTTTAGTAACCCGTGCCTGCTAACATTTGCTAAACATGAAGAAACTTTTACTTTTAGGCAAATAAAATGCCTCAGTGATCTGTTCATATGATGTCCCAGACCCGCATCTTGGTGCAGTAAGGCTTCAACATTCCTACGCTGCTCGTGTGAAACAGTGTTGCTGTTGTTTTAGTATTACTAACAGTATATATTATTACACTGTTCATTAATAATTTGAATTAGCTTTTATTTTCATATTTTGATTATTCAATTAGAATTTTAGTTTTTTGTTACAAAGTGTATACTTTGTATACAAAGTGACCACAATTTGGTTTTCAACCACTGACAATAGATTTTATTCAACAGTCTGAATATGGGGCCTCATTGAGGTCCCCATATCTCTGGAACTGAATGATACAGGGCCTTGATAATACAGATTCCAAAAGAAAAGTTAATTAAGAACTAGAATCTAAAATTATATTGCGATATCTTTAATACCGCTTGAGTTATAGGCACACAAACTTTGGAAAAAGAACACTTACGGCACTCAGACAGGTATGTTCAATGCAGTTGTTTTGACGGAAGGAAATTAGATACATCTCTAGTTTCAGCATTATTTGCCCTTCAGACATTCCTCTTTAAAAGAAAATAATTATCAAGTGACCCACATTTGGTTTTTGACCACTGAAAATGTGTACAATTTATCGATTTACTCCTGGAGCCATATTGAAATTCCAATATCTCTGGAACCGAACCATATAGGGCCTTAAAAACAAAGATGCCAAAAGAGAAGTTTGTTAAGACCCAATATCTAAAAGGGCATTAAGATATCTTTAATACTTTTTGATTTGCAGGCCTGCAAAGTTTGGAGAAAAAACTTGAAAAGTGCTCTTTCCCCATTTTTGAATGGTCACCATTGGCGCATAATGCAATAAAGATTGCTCAATTCTACAGCTTTTACTAATAGACCTACCAATCTCTGTGTAAGAGTAACATTATGATGCTCCCATCTTTCTTAAGCCAATTTTACCCCCCTGTAATTTGGCTCTGAATCTCAGGTGAAAATTGCCATTTTGAACCCCCTCTACAAAATAGTGTTTTACTCAGTAAATATTCATCCACGACATTTAATATTTTGGCTTCCATCACTATACATGTCTATCTTTCTTAAGAATATATTAGCAAAATCAAAGATTTTGGGGACCTCTGGTTGAGTTGACACAGAATGACCCACACACATATTTAGCAGAGCTAATGAATTATGCTGAAGACAATAAATATGAGGACATACATGAGATTGTAAGGAGAAATTTCAGATTCAGATGAACCTGTAATCCTACTATATCGTAGCTGGACTAAAAATACACCACATTCCATTTACTTCTTCTGCTCAAATTACAAAATGTCATGGTTGTGGTGTTTTATTAATATTAGAAATAATTCTAAAATAAATATTTTATAATAATATCTGTCATTTATTATAATAATAGTATTATTTTATTTTATATCACTCTTTATTTAATCACTTTTATTTGTATTTTTTTAAATTAAAAAACATCTAATGAATATGTAACTTTTTTTTTTTTTTGTAATAATAATAATTTGAGAAACAACAACAATGCAATGGCCTGCATGCTGAACATGGACCAATAATATCAAATGCACATGTTGTCTATTATCCTGTCAGTTCACATCTTTGGTTATTTCTTGAGGACATAATATAGAGATTATATAACAAATACTGTAAATTGACTAAAATTGCAGATTTAGAAGTGATTAATATTACAAAGCTTGGGTAATTATTACATCCCCCCTCGTCCCCATATAAATCCAATACTAAATAGCAAAATTGGTGGTTTGAGATTGACAACTTGACCCAGAAGAGTTACAGCAGAAGCCCAGTGTTAGTCTAGCACTTAAAGTGCTATTAATAGAGCAGACATGTGGATGAGATGGCAAACGGCCAGAGGAGCGCTGACGCTGATCAACACACATCCCGAGGGGCTTCATAAACACTGCTTTGCATTCGAGCTTTTTGACCGAACATCCATGAGATGTAGCAGATGGACAGAACATGGCATTTTCTGTGGATGCGGTTAGAGTCATCAGGAATGCTCGCGTATATAAACTGTGACTCTTGATCTCCCATTGCATTCGAGCTTTTTGACCGAACATCCATGAGATGTAGCAGATGGACAGAACATGGCATTTTCTGTGGATGAGGTTAGTCATCAGGAATGCTCGCGTATATAAACTGTGACTCTTGATCTCCCGTGGTCTCAGAATAGGAGAGAAGCTCGAGTTCTGATTGGTCAGGAGGAGGTGTGAAGCGCTCTGATTGGCTGGACCGATATGTAAACACTTGTCAGTGTCTTAAATGTCCCAGTAAAAAGCCTTAGGGCTGATCTTGCATGAATTCTATCAGAGGCTTCAAAACTGGGGCTACAAAAGGGAAACAAGTACAATTTCACAGAGAGAGAGAAAAAATAAACTAATTATTAAATGTAAATGAAATGTTTATGCATCTAATATTACTCTATTAGTGGCATTTTAATTACTTGCTCTGGCTTTAGTACAATGACAATATAAAAGCCAGTTATTTAGTTTCGTAAACTACACGTTGTCTTAATAATCTCACCCTTGCTATTTTTCATGCACATTTTAAATTAATCTTCATACATTATATAAAAAAATTTGAATAACTGTCTTTTAATTTTTTTATGAAAAAGAAGTAGACTTTAGCATACTTTTAAAAAGAGTACTTGTCATGGAAATAATCAACTTTAAAATACTACTGAATTAATGTTTTCAGATACTCGTCATGAAAGTGTCTCTCTTTAAGTCACTTAAGTGGCTTCACATTAAAAGTATATTATCTACAAGTACAGATTTAAAAAATTTTTTTTTTCAGATTTCAAGTACACCACAAATGCACATTCAATACTATTACGGGCACTTGTTTTTCACAAGGGGGTCATAAAATAGCTTGACTTAACAAACTGATATTATCATAAAACTACAAATGTAAAACAAATGTTGAATGCTGCCTTAAAAAAGCTTTATCTGAAAGTACAAAAGCCCTGATATCAGCAGGTAATAAAGCGGTATGTAGTGTGAATATGTGGGACCATGTGAGATAAATGAGAGAGACTTAGAGTCTGGTAGATGTGGCATGAAAGCATCAGGAGTTAGAGCCAGATTTTGGCCTCAGATGAGGGTTTAAACAGACGTGATGAGACTCGTGACACTGACCTGGCAGCAGTGGCTTCAGTCCAAACGGGCCTCTGGACGGGGAAATGCCACGAACAATACAGTCGAAGAGAAAACTGATCTGCTCGGCCTCGGTGCAGGACAAGAAGAACACGCCGGCCCCTGCACACAGACACACGCGATCAACACGTGTGTTCGACAGTCTCCCGTGGAACACAGATGGAGAATGATACTGAAATCAATAATGCACGGGTTGCTCTTTTCCGTTCAAATGAATAGGAATTGAATATAGAAGTTATAGTTTTCTTACTTAATTTTAGTTATTTTATTTCAACAAAAATGAGAAATGTTGCGGAAATAAATGTAGTGTTTAATTTTTGATGGCTTTAGTTTCAGTCAATACTAATGCTTTTACTAAACTATTCAAATAACTGATGAATATTCTCTGAATGTCCAGCTGGTATTGTGTCGTGTGTCAGTTTCTAGAAGAATGTCATTGATGTCTGACTTGCTCCTTCTAGGAATCTGATGAAGTTTGATGAGCAGAGACATCCATCACTCTACAAACAAGACCACCCAAAACCAGCTGAGACTTTACAACCACACAAACACTGTCAGCTGTGACCACACACAAACATGCACACACACACTCACACACAAACACGCACGCTCGCACACACACACACACACGCTCGCACACATGTCTGGTCAGCTATTCTTATGGGGACTCTCCATAGGCGTAATGGTTTTTATACTGTACAGACCGTATATTCTATTGCCCTACACCAACCCTACCCCTAAACCTACCCCTCACATTTTTAGATTTTCAAAAAACAAATTAATTCACGAGAGTGAAAATTTTAAGGGGGTCTGAATACTTTCCGTACCCACTGTATATACACACACACACACACACACTCGTATCCCTATCATTATGAGTTCTGTGTTTGCCCTATTGTGGATTACTAAAGACTATTTGCATTCACCTTCATCGTCGTCATGCATTTCATTCACTGTAGATGTGACAGTGTTACTATACCTGTGGGGACATTTGGTCTCCATGATGAAGGGAATTCCAGTTACACACACACAACCACATTCAATCAAGTAAACAAATCTGCTGTTTTGAATGCGGTCACAAACCAATGCAACCATTTAGAGCAGGGTTCCTCAAATCTTGCCCTGGAGGTCCAATGCGCTGCAGAGTTTAGCTCCAACCCTGATCAAACTCAGCTACCTGTGATTTTCTAATGATCCTGAAGACATTGATTAGCATGCTCAGGTGTGTTTGATTAGGGTTAGAGCTAAACTCTGCAGGAAAGTGGATCTCGTGGGCCAGATTTGGGGATCCCTGATTTAGAGCATCATAAATCATCTTACTGCCGCATACTGAGCAAAGTGAGCATTTGTGAATGTTAGCATTAGTGAGCATCTGGCTTTACATCTATTTACCAATGCTTATAACAGCTGCTGAGCAATACAATGAATGCTATATATAACTATACATAATAATATATAACATAACATATTTCAGTCATAAACTCTTGGAATAGTTTTAGCATGTTTATGGATATGCCAATGCATTTGGTCTAGACAGGTGGAGCTGGGGGAGGTGGAGGGTTTCAGAGGTGGATATACAGTGATATATTCAATGTTTTTTTTAATACCAACTTAAGATTTTTTTTTCCTCAACCTAAATAAAGTCCCAAAAGGTTATCAAAGCTTTTTCAAACTTTAGACATCATTAAGCAACTCGCAGACGGGTTCTCTTAACAGAAGAAGCCGACTGGATCACGATAACTAGCACAACCTTAACTCCTTGATATTGCATTTGATCAAAAAGCTTTCCTCGTTTAATTGCCATACTCACAGTAACCACAGCGTGTTCCTCCCTCAAACACAAACCCGTTGTTGACCGGCCCGTATCGCCGCAGGTCCAGCAGATTCCAGTGAGCTCTGATGACAGCCGGCAGGTCTTTAGTGATGACCAGGACATTGTTGCACAAATGCAGAGTCGCCGGGCCGCTTTCCAGTTTAGTGCCAGGCAGCACAGATACGCTGAAACTGTGGACTGAGAGACAGAAAACAAAAAACTATGATCAATACACTCACACTGGACGCTGATCCTGATGCCATTGGCTCCACACTGCAGTAAATCACGTCTACACAGTAACAGCTTCTCTTTGTGTGATGTGACGTGGGAATGCAGGCAGGGTTAAACCTGTTAGCACTAACTTTGAAACAGATTTATGAGGGTTTGCATAATCACAACAAAGAGGCAGATGCACACACACACAGCTGACTACATCACATTCCTGCTCACAACTACAAAGAGCTCAAACACAACACAACAATCACTTGAATCAAATATATACATCAAGCAAATGGTGCATAATGTGTCCATGAACCATCAAGACAGTTAAAAGTGAATGCTTTAGATGTTGTAATTGTTTCACTATTTTAACCACTCTTTCACCCGCGTCAATTTAAACAGCCATAAGCCATGAGACAAAGTATTTTTTTTATATACTTTTAATAATTATTTAATTTCAATTTAATTTAATAATTCTAATCATTTCTGATTATTTATGAAGTCAAATAAATATATATTAGACAATTTAATAATAATTATGTATAATTATTCCTCCCCCAGCGACTTAACACTGCTTTTGTGCTGCAGGGACACATATGTATTATACTAAATATGAAATTATTTATTCCATGTAGTCTTTGAATCAATATGAGCTCATAAAGCTACAGTATGAGTGTGAAAAAAAGCATTTTAAATATTAGGCATGACACATTGCATGATGTCAATTACACTAAACTCCCTATTTATTACAGAAACAGACCCAACAGACTCGGGCTTATTATTGATTATTGTGGACTGTAAGTGAATATTGTTTGTGTTGAATGTTGACCTCTGACCTTCCCCGAGGCAGTAGCGCAGCCGCAGGTCCCAGCTCTGCAGCGCCTCCCTGCTGTCGAACCCGAGCACGGCGCTCTGACTGAGACACAGGATGGAGAGGATGAAGGGAACGCCGTCGCCGCTGGCACACGCCTCCAGACCGCAGATGTGCTCCAGCGTCACGCTGCTCTCCTTCACACCGCGCTCCTTATACACGCACAGCACCAGACAATCTGACACACACACACCTTCACCTATAGAGACTTACAATAAAAACAGCTAATTATCTGATATATTAAGAGACTTATTAACCTTCACATACAGTCATGAAGGTCTGAAGGGTCTATGATATCATATCATTTGTGACCCTGGACCACAAAACCAGTTTTAAGTCTTCAATTTTGTGAAATTGAGATTTATGCATCATCTGTAAGTTTAATAAATAAGCTTTCCATTGATGTATGGTTTGTTAGGATAGGACAATATTTGAAAATCTGGAATCTGAGGGTGCAAAAAAATGTAAATATTGAGAAAATCTCCTTTATATTTGTTCAAATTAAGTACTTAGCAATGCATATTACTAATTAAAAATTATGTTTCAATATATGTACGGTAGCAAATGTCTTCATGGAACATGATCTTTACTTAATATCCTAATGATTTTTGGCATAAAAGAGAAATGTATAATTGTGACCCATACAATGTATTGTTGGCTATTGCTACAAATATCCCCCAGCGACTTAACACTGCTTTTGTGCTCCAGGGACACATTTGAGTTTGATTACAATGAATGACTTAAATTTTTTATGACACTGAAGACTGGAGGAATGATGCTGAAAACCCAGCTTTGATCACAGAAATAAATTACACTTTAACAAATATTCACATCGAAAACAGTTATTTTAAAGTGTAATAATATTTCACAATTTTTACTGTATTTTTGATCAAATAAATGCAGCCTCGGTGACCTTTGAATGATACTGTATCAGATGCCATTGTACCATACTACCACAATATAGTTTTGCAGCTCTACTACACACTACTGTAACCATATTTAAATGTAGATACATCAATATAGAGATAACTGTCCAAAAAACAAGTTCTACATCCTCTCAGAGATGAAGGTAGGTCAAACGTGATTACTGCTACTACGAAAGGCAAACAAACCAACAAACAAAACAACCTTTGGTACGTCACACACACACACACACACACACACTCACACAGACACAGACACAGACTCACACACTCTCACACACACACACTCACACACACACACACACTCACACTCTCACACACACACTCACACTCTCACACACACACTCACACACTCACACAGAGAGACACACACACACAGACACACTCACACACAGACACAGACACACACTCACACACACACACACTCACAGACACACTCACACAGACACA